ACAGAAAAATGTTCTGGAAGTTATATTTTTTAAAAGATCTCTTTAAGAAGGGAAGCCTAACTTTTTTTCTTACTATTTCTCTGACAGACGCTGGTACCCAGAAGAGTTCTCTTCAGCTCCTTCCAAGAAGGTGGCCCACAGAGCCCTAGACGATATCAAGGAGAGCATTGAAGAGCTGAAGTACTACAAGTCAGCAATATTTAAATGAAATCTAAAGCTCTTTGTTTACTTTGTTACAACTATTATTTTATCAACAATATTTAATTGAAATTGTGCTTCAGAAGCAATGTTCCTTTCAAAGGATATCTTTGTTATTTTGGAATAAAATGATGCAGACATTCTGTGTTCTCTAGCCTTCTTGGGAAAAAGCTAACATTCTCCTAAAACTGATTCACTTTACCAAGTATCAATTTATCCTTTGTCCTGTATCCGTCAGGGATAGGATAAATACCAGTCACAGACACGGACAATCCTTGATTTTTAGTTCCTACCAGTTTTATTACCCTGACTACTTTAAACCCATTAATTCCAAGAGTGTGTATAAATGTACTCTCACCTATGCTCTCTCTCTCTTTCTTACTTTTACGGTGGTTCCACTTGTGCTTCCTTACCAATGAGTCAATTACTTGGTACCCATTCATGCTGTCCCTTAATTTTTTTTTTATATAAAAAGGATTGTCTATGTAAATGGTAATGATAACACTGGTAATTATAATTGAAAAAGTATAAACTTTTTTCCCACAAAAATTCAAGGAATGAGGTAAATGAGTAAAGCCCAGCTGGTCCAGGAATAGACTACTTGTGGGTAATTGTTATGCATGCACACACGCATGCATGCACACACACAGTCTCACTTGGTATCAATGAGTTACTGTTTCTTGGATGTATTTTATAATGTAATACAAATATAAAATTATAACTGCTAAGTATCATACAAGTCTATAATTATAAATGCTACCTACTTCAAAAAGAAAGACACTGAAAGGGTTGTTGTCCTATTAATATAAATGCTGGTACTTTCATTTTTCTATTTCTCACACAATTTACAGTTTTCATGCTTTTTGGCTGCAATGTTTTCCTTGGCATTTTCTGTATTAACAAAATTTTGGTGACCTTTCAAGTGGTAAGGCGTAATGCAAATAATCATATGTAGTAAGCTTTCCTCAATATATAAATGCTTTTCCAAAAAGCGAGCTAAATGTATTAAAAACCAATAATATGTTTTTTCATCTTTTCATCTGTCAACAGTTCATATGAGTCCTCTTTGGACCCAAATATTTAATCATTATAGCATAGGTAATTCTTGATCCTTCAGTATATGAGAATCATGTACATTAATAAACCGATGGCAACTTCAGTATCACTAGAATGTGGTAAATTATTCATGCTGACTAAAAGGGGAAATTGCAGTATTAATGTTATGAAAACATTTTTCATCTTAAGACTTTTAAATGAATTGCTGATCATTAGCTCAACACAGTCAGTCTGATCATCCTTTTATAAGGTTATAAATCCTTTACATATTTCAAATTTATTATTTACAATATCAACAATCATACATTTTATATATAAACAATTTGCTAAGATATAAATTCATTCTCATAGAGAAGGGGGTGATTCAATGCCTAATTCATCCCTGAGTTCAGTTAAAGATTGTTCCCACCTTTTCTCAAAATATACATTCATTAGTAATTTAGAAGATCTACCTACTCTTACTGCCCAAGGGAGATACTCAGAAATATACTTCTGCCTTTGTTTTGGCCTGAATCGAAGGGGCCCAAATATGGCACCGCCCACACACATGGGTAAGCCAGTCTGGATACCCTCAATCCACTTGACTGCTACTTCACCAAGCATATTTGTGGGCATGCCTAGAACTGTGTGGAAAAGGTCGTGGCCTTCACGGTACCGCTGCATGACGTAGGCCAACTCTGGATCGTCAACAAACTGGACAGGCAAGCGTGAATCGGGTGTAACTTGGTTGTCATCTAGAAATTTTATGTAGGCATGACCTAGAGTGCCCTCAGGAAGCTGGCGTAGGAAGGGTAGGTTGAGTGTTGAGCTATTAATCCTAGGCTTGTCTATGAGGATTTGCCGACCCTCTTCATCCTCAATCATCATTGCATAAATCTTGGACAGAGCTGTGTACCCTGTAGTCTCTCCGAGTACTGCAACCATGTCATGACGTCTAGGGTCCAGAAGGGCTGCAGCTGCTGCACCCACCGTCAGCAAAGTCTTCTGGAAGATGTCTGTAGGGATGTGGTGTTTGTATAGAGGCAATGCCTTTTCTTCTTTTACCTGCTGGTTGGATTTTGAATCATCATCAATTTTCTCCCTTGAATGCCGTATAGGGATTTCTCTCGCTTCTGAAGAATCTGCTTTCATGCCTGTTTCATCTGCTATGGTGTGTGCTCCCCTTGCACAGCTGTGAGACAATCTACCTGTAGAAGTAAGCCATTGTGTCAGAAACCCATAATTGACAGAGATAGGCTAGCTCAGG